TCTTTAGTTGAGTTCTAATATTATCTAAACCTGATTGAATTTCAAAATATTTGAACCCCGACAAAAGATATCAAAGATTTTAGAATTGATCAATGATGAGTTGAGTTCTAATATTATCTAAACCTGATTGAATTTCAAAACATTTGAATTTTGACAAAAGATATCAAAGATTTTAGAATTGATCGATTATGAGTTGAGTTCTAATATTATCAAACATTGATTCCTTATGAAAAGATACATATTTGGAAAGGAAAGATGGAACGGTTTAGAATTTTCATGTTATTGATGTCGTTCAAATATTTTTGTACTGGTAGTGTTGAAAGAACGTTCGGGAAAGCAGAAAGTACTGTAACGTTGAGGAATATGTATATGATGAGGAGTGTTCAGGGCACATGTGTGGAGCCGGTGATGTAGTTTGTTTTATATGTGAGAGTTTTACTTCGGCGTTTTTTGGAAAGAACTCGTCGTGGATTTATTTGACTGTGTTGTGTGCGCGTTTGTGGTTGTTTGTGGGATTGGTACGCGATTTTGTTGATGCGTGAGAGAGACAGATTGTTGATGTGGTTATTCCTTTGTGTTGCGAGGAGATGAGTTTAAGATGCTGGAAATAGTGTAAGGTGTGAAGATGATGAGAAATGAATTATATTTTGGGAATTATTGGTCATCAGTGAGGTGATATGTTGGATGGTAATTGGATCGAAGATAGGAGATGAGTGAATTTTGTTTAGAAATATCAATGAAGTCGTGTGTGGATTCAGTTTCTTTGAGTAGAAATGTTTTTTCTATGTACGGCAAGTTTTGCGGAAACTCTGTTATATTTGAATCCCAATTGAAGAAGAAGTGATCGAGGCTGGAAAGTTTTGACAAATTTAATAGAAAAGCAGGAAAAATTCTCTTATATCCTATGGTTTCGGACATATCAGAATGTGTTTTTTATTTTATGTTGGTGTTTAAATAAATTTTATGCTGCAGTGCCGAAAGTTGCGATCTATATGAAGATATTGAAAATATCGTTGATCTCAAATTAATTTATGATTTATGTACAGTGTTGAAATTTAGTATTCGAAAAAGTAAGGATGAAAGTGTTTCTTGAAAGAAAAAAGTTGAAGTTTAGCATTGTCTATCGTAACAGTTATAGGTTGATGTGGAACTCTGTGATGATCTAGTAAATGATAGGCTACTTCGTGGATGAAAATATTGTTGAGTATTTCGATTGAGGCCATTTTCCTACATATAGGTGGATTGTAATGATCGTGAAGTTGAAGGAGTATTAACGGATTTATATCGTAGAAGTGTTTTCTTTTATAGTGAAGTCATTCGTGCATAGAATAATTTTAATCAAAATAATTCTATAATAACTAAAACAAGTGATAATAGTTGAAATTCATTTTTGATTTGATTTCCTTTTCAAAGTAGCATTAAATGAGTTAATATTGATAAGCAACCCTTGATTAGAATCGTATGCGCATGGAGACATAATCGAGCAAGCGTAATGAAATAGTTTTTAAAGTGTAAACACATGTATTAAAAATAATCATTCTGTTAGCTAACTCTCTTCCCTCCATAGCAATCGAAATTGCTATTTAAAGAGATGTTTTAGAAAATGTAGAACATGTGATATCAAAAAATTCTTTGCACGATATGCGCAGAAAACTTCTTAAGCTATCGATCCGTCAAATAAAAGGTTTTGTATCCTTGCTCTATTTTTAAGATACACGACTTACAAAATTAATGATTGTGAAATTATTAAGAAAGGATCCCTTCTTTGTGAACTGTCTTTTTTTTACGTACGAGCAATAGTTACCTTGATGCGGTGTTGTTCGATAAATATCGATTAGAATTGCTCGTATTGAATGAAATGAGTTTAAAAAAATTTTACACAAATTATTTGAAGAAGAGATTATACAACGTAAAATGGCAACTCCAATTGTATTTGGGTGGTAACGATATAAAGAAAGATGTAAAAATCCTTGCCTAAACGTAATATTTGTTAATATTTATACATGGAGAAGTAAAGGAGTTGCTGTTGTTGATATATATGAGCGTTATATGTTATTATGTGAATGTTTGACGTAGGTATGATTGTGAGTATCGGTATCGCAAAAGTAAAGGCTTCGACTATATCTACATTCAAACATAAATTCTTGTAACATTTCTGATACTCCAAGTTGAAAAAGTCTGAATTAATAATTAATTATATCATTGACTTGATCATTGCTTTATTTCGAGAAAAATAGGCTTCATATACCTAGAAACTTGTTTTTGAGAGACATGTGGTGTAGAAGAAAAAAGAAAGTCCTAGCATGTATCGTGTTTTTTTGTTTATTCACATTGTTAAATTAAAAAAAAACAAATTGTATTTTTGCGAACTTCACAAATTATCAGCCTGTTGGAGAGAGAAGAATACTCTGTTTCAATAGTTGTTTTATTAGTGATTCTTCTGCAATCGTTATAAGGGGTAAAGGGTGAATATTAATTACTTCTTATCGAATATTGAGTTTGAGTGCTATTTGTACTTTTCTGGCACGAACAATGACGCGACTCGGATGCAGTTTTACAAACAGATTGATGTATCACTTTATCGAATATAGATACGGGTATGAATGTCTTCTCTTCACTGACAATTACAGCCACACTCAGACTCACATCCACATCGCACATTCACACTTCAGAATACGTTGTCAACATTGTCGAAACTTTCTGGAATAGTGATGGAACCAAAGGAACTATAACAAAAACGTAACGAAGCAAGACAAGATTAACACATGCAAGTTATTCACCAAGCAACCTTCAAAGGATTAGCGTCGTCTATCGAAAAATAGGATTTGTGCTATTTTAAAACGCTGCAGAGAAAATAAATTGTTATTTAAAACCGAACTCCGTTGTAAATATTCATTAAAGGCCATAAATGTTTTGTGACAGAGAACTGTTGACTGAGTAACGAAACGAAAGAATGCTGAATAAACGCAATGTTTAAAATGTTCTGCTTGTACGGTGCAGGTAAGGGTAAAGATGAGTTCTGTAATGTTAAAAGAGAGATAAAATAACTCTTCGTTCTATTCGTCTATGGTAATACGTGCAATAGAATAAGAGACGAATATTTATAATTGGTAAGTCCTAAAGAGTATTAATAACTGATTACGAAGAGTCATTGACTTCGAACTAGAAAACGATTCCAACATCTCCTGATGATCGGTCAGTTGTTTTGCCGTGTAAGTGTAGGTTTAATTATGGTAATAACATAAGAGTCAAAAAACAAGCAATCGCTTTACTTGTTCACGGAGACACATACAATATCAAAATGAATGCATTCACATGAAAAATGCGCGTCGAACATATTTTTCAGACGCATTAGATTAATATAACGGTTTTTTGGGTATTTGCAGTTTATTATTTGATGTATTCATGGAAGAAATACAACATGAAAATGAAGGAAGAGAAGAGGGAGAACTAGTCAAGAATAACTGATAAACAATACATGAACAGAAGTCTTTATACGTATACGCGAAAGAAAAAGAGAAAAATTAGAACACAGAGAGCGATCAGTCGCAGCGATAAGTGTGTGACCGATGAATTTGTCGCAATTAACAATATCCACATTGTATACAATATTTTGCATTAAATACACTTTTTTGATTACTACATTTTGGACAATCGCTAAAGATTCCTTGTGAAAATGAGTCAATGACTTTATAATAGGATGGTGGCGGAGGAGTGGCTGGGACAATTGCATATTGAGAGTATTGTTCATTATCTAATGATGTTGTGACTTGTTCGAGATCTGGCACGAGAATAGTAGTAGCTGAAGTCTCAGCAGGTGGATCCAATCGAATTGATCTCCAATCAATTGGTTCACGTACAGAAGGTGCTATTGCTGGTGCCACTCTCCGCTGTTGAAGACGAAGTTCTATAGTAAACTAGGAAAAGACACTCTAATGCTTCTGATGAACATAAGCAGCTGTGAGTTGGTAGTAAAGATTTTGAAGATAGTAAGAACATCACTCAGTAAATGTATACGTACTTTTAATCTTTTACGTGACACTCTATCGCCAATCTTTTCTATGATCCATTTGGCATAGGCTATTTGATTAATAGTCACAAGTTCTTCATCTGCAATTGTTTGTATATCAGATTGTAATTTTCTAAAACGTTTCGTATTTTTTGTACGATAACGTTCAACAGAGGCAGTGGAACAAGCGATGCCAAAGACAGTCACAATAAAAATTGTCGACCTATGACAAAATAAGAAGAAACATTTCCTTAGTAAAATTCTATAGTTATCTTCAGATTTATTCATCTGATTGAATTCTAAGTTTGACTACAGCATAAAAATGAATAGCGTACTAATTCTATAGTCGTATCGTCAGCAATTAAGTTGTTCATGTCTCTTGTTTATAATCATTGAATGATTTGACAATTACACAGAATATTCTTCTTAGTAGTGCCATACGCTTCTGATATTCCAGCAATCTACTCTACACTCGCATTCCCTTTATTCAAGTCAGCTAGAAAAAAAACCACAAGTAATTAGCACATGACTTTAGAAAAATGTCCCTTTAATTGACAGATAGATGCAAAATGTCGACTTTATAGGCATTTTATACTATTTAATGCCAAGCGGTCTTCCCATGTAAAAAGTAGACTAACTCAATAAAATGAAATTCAACATAAAATTATTGTATATCATTCAATTTGTCATCGATACATCGATCTAATACATATCTTTCCTGGACATAATATTTTTGATCAATTATATCTATTTCAACATTCACACATAAATCGTTCGATAGATCTAATCGAGCTGCACCTATTAACTTTTTGAATACCAGCATTCTGAATGGAGGACACTTTCTTCAAATTTCTTAATTGCTCAATGACTCACGAAAGCGAAATGATATCGAAGTGCAATTCTCTGTATAACATAGAAGAGACTTCGATGCATACATCTATATAAGAGTTATAATCCTCATGAGGTCACTGAGGTAATAATCCTAGTGAGTTTTTGGTATACCATCTCTATTGTAAAAATGGAAAGGAGGAATAATGATCTTTTGTAGTCCCCAAAATATTTCGATTTTCCGCGTTGGAATCAAGCTGGAAGTGAATTCTGGTAATATTCTAAAGTTTAATTTTGCGACAGTTCTCAATCGAATTTTGACCCACACCTGTATTTCCTAAGGAAATGACAAAAGCACTTCTTCGTCATCTTGTTGGAGAGTACAAACATGAACCGAAAATAACTTTAACGATTTTTCAAAAGAGTTCTGGTGAAAATATTCACAATACACACTGCTCATTTTTTAAAAATAAAATCTCACAGAAATTTCGTCCACTAGTTGAGTAATGTTACTCAAAAGTTTAGTGTATCATTTGATTCATTTTGTTAAAGATTACAAAGTATTTTGGACAAATTCTCATGAAACTGGGTATACACAATTTTACTTTCTACCGTCAATCTTATTTTTGGGCAAAGTTGTAATAAAAATACATTTTTTTCTAAATTTATAAAGGCATGCTACCAGGATATTAATCCAAATTTTTATTCCAATTGTACAACTGGTATGCAATTCACCCATATATATATGTGTATATAACCACATATTTAAAATATTTTTCTTTTTTCTCATAAATACTTACATATATACTGTAGACTAAGAGATGTTATTAACTGTCGATGATTGTATTAGCGAAATGCCAACGATCATGATTATGACACATAGAATAACTATAATTATTATCATGCCAACGTAACACAATTTATTCCTTGGAGAATTGAAGTTTTTAATTCGTTGATTAATTTTCGATATTATACGTAAATATTGATATCGTGTGATACAACAACTTAATGGATTATCTGAATAGGAAGAAGAATCGACATTAAATATGCCATATTTATCAAATATAACTAAAAAGATTTAAAAACAACACTGATTTTGGTTTATTAAACGATAAGAAATATTAAATTACGTTTAAATTTGGGTGTTGCCATATTGTACATAGTTCTTGATTTATTTATGATATAAATAGAAAAAAAATATTATGATGTGATAGGGAAAAAAAGAGTTATAGTGATCCTGCAACGATAATGTTTGAGAAATGTAGAACAGAAAAACAGACAATGTGTCACATATGTTCCTTGGATACTATCAAACCGAAAGAAAGAAAAATGGCTGGAGAATATTTATGATAGTATTTAGTGTGAATGAAAGTAGATATCTTTTTAATACATTATTAACTTATATATATATATATATATATATGCTGTGTATCGCCTTCCTAGTACACTTAGTTGTACAGCATTGCTTTATTCTCGATATAAATTGAAAATCGAAGAACTATGCTATTTATAGAAGAACACGTTACGAATTTCTTTGTATTTCAAAGGCTTATTCATGCGAAGTTTATTTTACGGATTTGATTAATAATCCCCAAATTAATAAGTTACTGCCGCTGTTCTCAATTTCGCGTCTTCTTATTTTTCGAAATGCCGTCTTTTGTCATACTATTCACCTACTAGAGATTTTTTATCTAATTTCTGATCGATCCATTCAGAATACATTCTGTTTCAATTAATAAGATGTTCTTGACCTGCAATACTTTGTATATTACATTGTACTTTAATGAAAATTTTCTTAAGGACTTCAATCGTTCCTCTTTTTGTTGAATAGCTGATATCTGAAAATCGAAGTATTCTATCACTATAATCATTTTGCATTATAAAAAACGTTTAGTATGAATTACTAGTAGAATTTAGGAGACACATGAGGACTTGAAAAAATTTTTAACAGATTAAACGTCAGGAACAAGACAAGGGTGTATTTCTTGAACAATCGACAAAATTTGAACTACCCAAGCAGACCAGAATTTCCAAAAACACGTTTAAACGAACTAATCGCGGCTCTCGTTTGAGCGCTTTCACACAGCTTTTAACATTTTCTGAATGAGCGTGAAAGTACTCAAACGAAAACTGCGATTAGTACGTTTAAACACGTTTTTAGAAATTCTTATCTGCTTGAGTATTAATGGGAAAAATAGTTAAAAAGCGAAGGAAATAAAAAGTGAATCATAAAGAATAAACTTTTCGTATTTTGTTGATATCTTGTAGAATTTCATCATTTAGACTTAAAGCATTTTTCAAAAGATTCATTATGTAATGCTCTGTAAATCAAAAGACTCAGCTTAATGAATGTGACCTCATCCATTTTTAAAGCATAGTCCAAATGTATAGAACTATCACGTTTAATTGCTAATGAAACAAGTAAAAAAATTTAAAGAATGAAATTTTTTTGATACTGCTTCTGTGCATATAAGTAGTGGTTAAAATATAGATGAAGTTACATTCGTCAAATAAAATATTCTGATTTATTGAGAATGACATGTTGATGCTTTTGAAAAATATATTAAGTCTAACATGGGAAGGTCAAAAATGACATGGATTTGTCAAGTCAAGTACTCTTGCTATCGTCTTGGTAGCACTCCGCTATTTCTAGTTATCAAAGTCATAAGTACATTATGCTGATAGTTTAACTCTCGTCTTTTGATTAACTGAACATGAGGTATAGCAGTGGCAAAAAAGCAAGCAAACTAATTTTATAATAGATAAACATCTTCGATGAATTAAAACTAATTAAAATAACGAATAAGTTTGAGATGGAGACAGCAAAGCGAATCAAGGAGACCACTAATTATCAAACATTTATCAATCGATCGTCGAAAAGATAACTCGATTATGGGACCGATTTCAAGTATGTTTCAATCATATCTAATGCGCAGATCATGTTAACAGTATGTGTGCATTATTTAATAAACTTAATTCTGATTTTGTTATTATTCTAATAAGTTACTTACCAGAATGATATGAACAAAAAACCAATAAATGAAGAAAATTTTATATTAAGGTGCTGCTGAATAGATCTGATGTTGTGTATGTAACAGTGCTTGCTTGTTTTGGTGAATGATTCTTTTTTTACCTTTGCAGCAAGGCGAATTTATTTACAAGAAAAACTACGCGGCAAGCAAAGTGACTATTCTGCAGTTTCGTGAAAGTCTTGTCCGATCCTTACTGCTTGGCACGCCAATCGAGAAGCTGAAACCTGGTCCAAGACAACAATCAGCAAGTCATTCGAAGTGCAAACTCACTGATCACAAGCTCGAAGAAAAGGAAGGATCTACGCACAATGTTGGCAGACGGTGCACTGGCTACTATGCGAAGGGAAGGGCACAACAGTCAAGAGAAACGAGCAATGCAGCAGCAACGAAAGTAAAAACTTTCTATTCTGACTGTGACAAATTTTTTTGTCTTGAGTGTTTTAATGATAAGCATTATGCTATGGAATAAAGGATTCAAATAAAGTACTGAAGGCAGTAGATATGACATCTTATGTTTAACCTCCTGCCTAAGAAAAAAGCAAAAGAAAGTGCTTTTCTGTACAGTTTCTCGTTAAACTAAAGCATCGTCCACCGGTGGGCGACGTCGGGCTGAATGTGTTAAAATAAATATAAATTACTGACAATTTATGTTCGTATTAAATTTACAAGTAAATGACACCCCTAGATGGTAGTATAAAGAATACAGAAACATCTTCCTAGAAGACTAAAATCGATCAAGTTATTAGATCATTTGATGATTATTACTTGTTGCAATTTACCTGAGAACGATCAATGACAAGATACGCTTTGCCCACATCGTTTTAGGTTTTTTTCTTTCTCTCTAAAATTCGTTCTTCTTGTGCTATCTTTTCTTGATGGGATTCACACGATCTGACAATAGGCACAAACGATCGTCATTCGCTCTTCGCACAGCGTCTTTTATTCCAGTGTCAGAGTATTATGGTTATTTGATACCGATTCTGGCTTTGAATCGTTCATGTCTCATTAAGTCTGAAAAAATATTTGCACATCTTATCAATTTTATTTGAATTTTGCACGAAACGATAGAAATGTAAGCCATAGAGAAAATTATCTCGAGAAATTTCCATTGTAACTATTGGCTTTGAAGAGAAAGGAACTCACATGTATCAACATAAACTCTTATCAATAGTAAATTTTTGTATTTGATAATTCATACAATCAACTACATAGAGATTTCTGTATTCATCGAATGATAAATCAGTAGATTCGTTCAATTGATTCGATTGATTAACAGAACCATAGCCATTATTCGAAGTATCGGCCACATAAATAGTACCTAACTCATCGACGATAACACTACTTGGAAATGACAATTGATCTTCTTTATCACCAGATATTTCACCAGTAATAATTGTGAATTATATTGTACCATTATCTACTTTTATTGTTCGATGATTATTCGTCTCAGCTACGTAAGAAGTTTGATATCGATGAACGAATAACTTCTTCGAAAATACAAGTCCTAAGCTAATTAGTTCTTCGTCGGCTGTACCATCATGCTATTTTCTCACTTCACCTCTTAGATAATTCGGCACTCAAGATGATCCTTGATTATCTTGTTCTATATCAGCACTAGCAACATTTTGAATAATTGTCTATTCGCTTTGAGCACCTCTTGACCATCGCTGAATATGCAGATTACCATTGTCAATAATATACATTGTTTCATCCTGATCGACAATGACATCGATTGGTTCATTCAATTGATTATCATTATACCGTTCGCCATTTCCGCCAGCAACTATCTGACTATTGAAAGTGTCAATAATCCGTTTAAACATACAATAATTAGCAGAACCGGATATATACATTGTTTGATTTTTCTCAACAAACAGTGTATCAGGATATGATAGTTGATTAAGTGCAGGAAGTGTGAGTGTATTTGCTCACACCCACCTCACTCCCACACTCACATTACTCGCATCGTACGATTCACCGTATAGGATGCCAACCAATCATAAGTGTTTCTTCTTACTTGTAATTAGTCACACTGTAGCACGAACACTTGGCCATAGAGGAACCGTATAAAAAGGAAGCCTTCGTGCCAGTGCGTTTCATTTTTTATTCTGCTCCAATCGATAAAGTATGCAGTCTGAATGTACTTTTTTTGCAATGAAAACAGAGACTAAGGGGTTTTCGAGAGTCGTGAATTTGAATGAGAGGTCATATTTTGATTATTATTATTAATATATTTTTTATTTTCTTTAGGGTTTTTTTCTTAATTTTTAAAAATTTTTTTTAATCATTTTGGAAGCGACTACATATAATAAAAACACTAAGTTATTTATCTTTATTTCATAAAAATTTCATTTTTGTGGCCTTGCTGCATTGAATTGCTTAATTGTAAACCTTGACAATTAAATACAAGTGCTTTATGATGTGTAGTTGTGAGTGGCAAGTAATTTATTGTTCATTTTTCGTATTCAATATGTGTTTGTCTCTTAACAATGATTGCTGATAGGTCATTTAGTTTAAGCCCGATTATAATATGGACTCTGCTTAATCAATGGTCATTCGAAAATGAATACGTTAAATAATTAACGAAAACAAAAATTTTTACTGATTAAAATCATAATTTAGTGTAATTACTTTATAATAAATACAATACAATATCTATATAACCTAGCTAAATAGCAATATGTATTGAAAGTCAATTATCTAAATGAATTAATAATTGGCCATTATATTTCAAATGATTAAGATTAATAATCATACGATAAGATTTTAATGGAAGAATTTTAATATGAGAAATATCTACATTATATAGAATAGTATTAAATAAACGATCAGCAAGTTGATGATGATCAAAGATCATATTTTCTATGAACACGAATAAGGAAAAGAAGAGGACATTAGCATTTTTTTTTATAGTGCATCGCTTATGAGAAATTTATATATGACACGCTTTAGATATCTTAAACTGAAAAGCACAAACGAGCATTCTCTCACTTTATATTAATGTTTCTCATACAAATAACACTTAATCGCTTGATTGAACTAGACGTCATTTTGTTCCCAGAATGAAAGAAAAAGAAAAACAAATAAATATCTGATATGATTCTACTATCAGACCAACAATTCAATCATTGTTGACAGAATAATTTGAAGAATTTTAGTTTAATGAGTTATTTTAATTGATCCAGGTGTGTACAGTCAAACGGATCATTTCCGTTACGTTTTTTTTCGTCTTCTTTTTTTTCTCTTCTAATGTTTAACATCCGTTGATTACCATTACGTGTTGATTTTTACATAAACAATTCACTAGTCTAGTTCTAATAATAACATACAAATCTAAATGACTGCGAGCTGTTTTGTATGAATCATTCTTTTGCTTTCCACACGTCGTCATCATTGCCTTACAGCAGAATTATACGAGAAGTATTAGTAGTAACACTGACGAGTTGTGTTTCATGGATAATTGCTCGACAGCTTGTATTGTATAGATTTATATATATACATATATATATATATATATTTATATACATGCAGACACACTCTCTCTTTCTTCTATCTGGTAAATACTAACGCATGCGTGTAGCTACAGCTTGATGCGTTCAGTTGAGTAGCTTGAAGGCAAGTTCATGCATTCTATTATTTACTGTCTGTACGTAAGAAATGACCATCGAACTGTTCATTCTTCTTATCCGA